AAGGACAGTGTAGAGGAGAGGCTGTTAGCTGCAGCCAACCAACCACCTGACGTCACGTTCGTACTGACAGAAACATGTTTTTATAACTTTAAGCTGTTATTTGTTAAATCCAGCTTCACAGCAGTTACATGTGTGTCAGAGTCAGAGCTCAGTGGGGTAAATTAGCCTCGATGTGTTCAGTGTTTCCTCTTTAAAGCTCAGTACAGAGAACAGAAGGTTCTCACCTGTGGTTCATTGAGCAGCTCTGTATTACCGCGGTCATACAACAGAATAGCCCCGCCTGCAGCTACAGACGCCGTGTTATGGCGAGCAGGTGTGAGGTGAGACGGCCTGCAGACAAACCAACAGTGACGCTGTTGGAGGTGTGCAAATCACCTGCTGTCATTAAAGGTTTAAGTCTGGATGAACTCCTGAACAGGTGATGGTACCGCCACAAAACGACCTCTGACCTTTGACCTCTTCTATCTGTTTCAGGTCAGGGGATGACCGAGCCTGATCAGAGTCTTCTCGGCAGCGGGAACGGTGGGATCACCGTGGGAGGCCTCAAGTCCGTCCTGGAAGACGCCATCTCCCCGGCCTTTGGCGCCACCATCATCATCATCATCACGGTGATCATGTCCGGCAGCGCGTACCTCTGCTTCCTCAAGTACATCTGCAACGGCTGCTGCAAGCCCATGCAGGTGGTACCGGCCGCTGACGTGGACCCCAACAAGGTGGAGGAGCAGGTGTAGGTGATGGAGTCGTCCCCGTGCTCGATTCAGGCCGTCGAGTTTTTCTGTCTGAAACGTTGTTTTCAGTTTCCTGCAGCTGGATGGATCAGAGGCCTCTGCAGGCGAGACGTGAAGCTCAGCACAGGCTGGAGAAACCAGCCAATCAGTGAACACCAACATGGCGCTACCACCTGCCAGACGCGTCACAAAATCAAAGACCTTACTTCAGTGGTTTGTTGGATCTCTGTGTTTGTGTTCAGTGGATCTCCGTGTGCTGACATGTTCATGGAGCGTCAGCAGGTAAAAATACGAGGCTGCAGTTTCTGTGAGGACCTTCAGGAACTGTTCTCCAGGCTTCCTGAAGGACAGTCAAAGCTCTTCCTCGGATGTTTCTGCCTTTGCTTGTGTTCTCTGTCAGGATGATCCCACACTGCTTCAGTGGAGCTGAGCTCTGAGGAGGCGCATCCATCACTGATGTGTGCTTTGTGTTTGGCATCACTATGATGCTGAAAAATGAAGCTGCTGCCAGTCAGATGTTTCCAGATGTTCCTGCGTGGTGGATCAGACTCTGTAATTCATCAGTTTATCAAAGAACCTGAAACCATGACACAGCCTCCACCGTGCTTCACAGATGGCTGCAGACGCTCACTGCTGGACCTCCTCCTGACCTCCTCGTACACACTGACCATGATGTGGATCCATCTCTCCATCACACCTGTTCCTCTGACCTTCAGTCCAGTTCTGGTGTCATTTTCAGCCTCAGGTTACTTTATTTCTACATGGAGGTAGGTTTGTTCTGCAGCTGTGAATCCTCACATACACACTCTCAGTAACGGCGGCTACAACAAAGCCATTTTTAAACGTGCTGTTTTACGTTTTGGGACCAGAAGGAAAAACTGAAACGGACCAGCTGCACCTGCCTGCTGTGGTTCCTCTGTCGGCCCGTCGGACTGAGTTTCTGTTCTTTACCGATAAATATCCAAACTGTGACACCAAAGAAATATGACAGGGTGATAAAATAAACCATCATGGTTTTGTCAACATGGAAGCGAGAAAGCTGTGCAAGACATGAGCGTGGCTGGTGGGCGTTAAGCTCCACAGTCTGACCTGTAATAAGAGTGACTTCATGTGTGCGAGTGCTTTTCCTAAAGTCACGAGTCGTATCTTTAGACGTAGCTCTGCTCGGCTGCAGACAGGACACCTCAGCAAGAACTGAGTCATGGCTGCTACGTGCTGTGGCTGGAAAGAAACACAGCACTCAGATTTCCATGAGACTTACTGCTTCTTACGGAGCAGAAGGCTTTTCCACGTGAACCCCGCTCGATGCCAATGTGCTCGTTATGTTTGCGGCTGAATGAACTGAACATCAGCTGGCTCACAGTCTGGATGCTGCTGTGGTCCTCACTCTGGACCAGGCTTGGCCTTTAAAAATGTCCATTTGTAGTTCCTCAGCAGCACGGCGAGGTCAGACGGCGTACGTGTTTAAAAACAGGATTCCTACAGATTCAGTCACTCATGGTTTAATCTTAGGATGAGCTCTAACTCACCTGGAAGGAATAATCATGTCTTTTCAAGACACAGAATAAGAACACATCAGCAAGCGTCCACATCATCCCCACAAGTCTCTGTGAACATGTCCCCACTGTGTGCTGCGTAAGTGGGCAGTGAGTGCACAGCTGTGATCTGGACTCATCTGTTTGCCTTCAGTAAGGATGTCTTCCTCACAGACGTCCTTACTCAGAGCATTTCTGAGGAGGCTTCAGTGAACAGCAGATGATCAGCTGAAGGTCCTCCTTGTTTACCTGCTGTGGATGGGCTGGTTCTGTGTTCATGTCTGTTATGTGTTGACACGGCTCTGGTTCATCTTTTTGTTAGGAGCCTTTGATGCTTGAATGAGTTGTAGGTCAGAGTTCAGACCCTTAATAAAAAACCTTCCTCGGGTACAAAGACTGGACTGAACCTGAGTGTAAGAGCAGCCAGTGTCCAAAGAAGACCTTTTACAGACCTTCAGGGGGATGTGGATCAAAGGTAAGGAAATGACGGTGGCTCAAGACTTTTGCACAGTACTGAGCTGTAAAAAGACTAAAACAGCTTTTCAGGAAAACATGAGTGTTTCACACAGACTGTCCTGTCGCCGTGCTGATTGTTGTACGTGTGCGTGCGTGCGTGTACGTGTGTGTGCGTGCGTGCGCGTGCGTGTGTGTGCGCCGAGCTCTGTATTCTCCAAAACGTGTTTTTTAATAAATAAAAACATGAACGCTGAGGCTGTGACGCTGAGTTAATGATCCCAGCCGTGAGCTCGGAGCTCATCAAACACACAAACATGGACGCTGCAGCATCCTGTCAGCAGACCCATCACCATGGAGACCAAACATGTCCATTCCTCCTGTGACAAAAACTCCGCCCTGATGTGATTTGAATCTGCTTCCTCCTGATTGTTCGGAGGCGCCTCACGCATCCAGCAACGGAAGTGAGTTCAGAACTGACACACACACGTACTCGTTTTCATATGCTAGTGAGGACATCTCATTGACATAACCCTAACCTGACCCCGACACTAAAACCTTCAAACTTTGTCCCCAGGACTGCGGGTCCCCACAAGTGTAGTAGGATGCCAATTTTTGGTCCTCACAAAGATAAATTTTATTTATGAGCACCTTTCAAGTCACCCCAGGACACTTTACAATAGGATAAAACACTTAGTAAAGAAAAAAAAAGATAAAGTAAAGATAACATTAACAAACAGTGGAGTCACAGTGAATATGCAGATTTGAACAGATGAGTTTTGAGTTGGGATTTAAACTGGGAGAGAACCAGTGTTTCTTATTTCTGGGAGCAGAGCAGCTGAAAGCTCTGCTTCCCACGGTGGTGAGGCGGAAGGAAGGCACAGCAAGCTGGATGGAAGAAGATCGAAGTGAACGGGCAGAACAGGTGGTGGTTAACAGGTCAGCAAGGTAAGGAGGAGCGAGGTTATGAATGGCCTTGAAGGTGAGTAGAAGAAGTTTTAATATTATCTGGATTTTCACAGGGAGCCAGTGAAGTTCCTGAAGAACAGGTGATGGTAGGAGGGGTTCTGGTGGTAATGCGAGCAGCAGAGTTCTGAACCAGCTGAAGCTGATGGAGGGATTTTTGGGGGAAACCATGCAAAAGAGAGTTGCAGTAGTCGATACAGGAGGTAACAAGACTGTGGACAAGAATGGACGTAGACTGGGTGGAGAGAGAAGGAAGCAATCTGTTAATGTTACGTAGATGGAAGTAGAATGGCCTGGATGACACCAAGGCTCTTAACCTGAAGATGCCTAAACATGGCGCGCACACACAGACACGACATAAAACTGACAGATTGATGATGTCACCTACACCTGTCAGTGAGGGGGGCGGACCCTTCCTGTCTTTGTGCTCACTGGTTACAGGCTGTCATGTGACTGCCCTCCTCGCCTGTCTCTTTACCTGCTCATCATTAAAGCTGCTGTGCAGGTGCGAGTTTTCAGAGCGTCCACCTGAAGCGGGCCTCAGAGTGGAGGGAGGTTCACGCCTCCTCTCTGAGGGACAGTGAAGAGCTTTGAAGTGGGAGGAGTCAGATCAGGATTTACTGTTTGAGTTTCATGATGTTCAGTTTTCATGGTGATAGATCCACAGCCGATTACCCACACATGCATGTCTCTCTGTTACCGATGACCTCTGACCCTTAGACTGAGAATCCTCTCAGAGCTCCAGACGTACCCAAAGCATCAGCAAACGCCCGCGGCTGATGGAGCAGGAGGGCCGTGAGGAGCGCACGGCTGAGCTGTGGAGTCCATCTGTGTCCATCAGCCACTGTGGGACACAAATCCATGGCAACCACCTTTAACTGAAATCTGTATATGACAGTTTGGGGGTTGAGTCACGAGACCGATGCTCGTCGTGTTCGTGGTCCTGTAAAACCATCACACAACAAAGAACGACGTTCAGCTGCTCGTGAGGATTTCATCGACCTTTAAACACAACCTCACAGATTTTACTGTTTTATTATAAAGACAAAGAGACTTTTCTTTCTTTACATTAAATAACTGAATTTTTCAATGTAATATTTATCTTTCTTCCTGACTTGATGGAAATAAGCAGTGGTTGGACCCTCTGGGTGGACGCTTCTGGCCCACGGGCCGTATGTTTGCCACCGTTGCTGTAAAGCTTGTGAAGCTGGAGTAGCTGCATCGTGAAGGTTCGCGGTGCCAGCTGCTGTTTGTTTGTGCGGCGTCTCACTGGGACACAAAGACTCGGCTCAGGTTTAAAACGGTTTTTATTAAAGCAACAACAGAAAGAAGTGCGGTTGGCGTGAGAGCGCCGTCAGCAGAGACCGCCACGGTCATCAGGGCTGCTCAGGTCCTCGAGCGGGGAATTGGTGAGCAGCCTTTCATCCTCTCTGCTGACGCTCCGAGACGTGAGGAAGGAGGAGCCGAAAGAGCGCCGAGAGCCGGAAGCAGGAAGAGGTCGAGGTCAGAGTCAGCGTCTGATTTGGCACGGCGTCTGATTGGGATGCTTTTTGGACCTCCCTGCCCTCCAGCTCTCGGCTTACTTTCAGGACCCGCAGTTCTCCTTCGGCAGCACGTCGACGTCCTGCTCTGTGGGCGGGGTCATCAGGGCGGGTTCGCTGCTCATCCTGTCGCCCTTGCGAGCTGCGGAGACAGAGAGAGATGGAGAACAGGAAAGAGTTTATTTAAAATGGAAGAACTTCCTGTCTGACACTGTTCTAACTTTAGAGGCTTTTATTCTGTAAAAACGTCAGCCTGAAGCTCCTCCAGCTTCACGCAGTCGTAGCTCTGATGTCTCTGTTCTCCTCACACAGGTGTGCTCAGGTGAGTCCAGCTCTGCTCCTGTGCTGGACCGTTTGTCTCTGGGTCCTGGTGATTCTGCTGCTCAGTCGCCATCAGACTCACAAAAGCGCCGAGTGTCGGCTCTGCAGAGGAAACTGCAGCTCTGAGCTGAGGACGCTCTGCAGCTCCACAGCACAGAAACAGGCGTTTCTTTGTGTCTGCAGGTCAAAGGTCGCGGTTCTGCTGAAGTGGAGTCGAAGCTCCACACAGGTTGCCCCTCTGGGAGTCGTGTCACGTAGACACGGAGCGGCGAGGACTGCAGGACTGGAGCTGCTGGTCCAAACCTCAAACGTCCACATGACACACCAAAGAGCGTCTGTGAGCGCAGACGGGGTTTCCTCTGCAGTGAGGCGCACCGCAGGGTTTAAATACAGCTTCTGCTCAGGCGAGCTGCCCAGAGTGTTTCTGTTTCTGTGGTGAAGTTTCTGTGCGAACGCTCTCACCAGGCTCTCTTGATTTCCTCTGTCAGCGCTGCAGAGGCGCCTCGTTGGCCACGGCGGCGTGGAGAAAAGAGGACAGTCTAAAACAGCTGCGAGAGCTTCACCACATCCTTCTCACCGCAGCTGCAGCTCTGAGCGCCGCTTTCTCACAGTAAACAGAGTCTGAGGCGAGTCTGCAGAGGATCTCTGACCGAACCTGAGCGTCACCTCTTTGTCCTCTGAGGTCGACTGACACCGATACATCACTGCGTGCGGAGGACACTGACCACACTCACATTTAGCCTGCTTGCATCCCGCGGTGCTCGGCTTCTCCGGCTGCTCCTCTCCTCGCGCCGCAGCCCGGATCTTCCTCGCCACGTACCGACAGGCTGCAAACAGAACGACATGAACTCGAGTGAGTTAACGGACCCACCGTGAGTCCCATTCCCCGAGAACATCGGGACTTAGGATCAGACTTAACTGAAATCATATCTGAGCCAGCAGGCTCTGACACCGCCACACCGTCCCCGAGTTTGACCCCTAACCCTGAATTATCCTGCCGGTGCAGGAAATGCTGATTACATCTCATAAATGCAAATTAACAGTCCGTTCATGTCTTTGTCAGAAGCTGACCTGATTGGCACTTTTTGGGGGGTAACAACAATAATAATAATATTGATATTTATAACAAAGTGCAGTAATAACAGTGTGCAACACTTATTCTACATTTTATTACTAACTTAAGTTACTGCGTGGTGTTGTACGTAGTGCCGACGGGGGAGTTTTTCCATTGTACTGCTGTACTATGCCTGACTGTGCAATGACAGTAAAGAGTCCTTATCTTATCTTAACAAACACTTGTGGTAATTATCTGATGGTTCAGGCTTAACGGGCTCGTTTGCATCTGGAGCTCCGGCTGTGGGAACCCCGCGATGATGGTGTCAGAGTCTGAAACCGGATGCAGGCTCGTGACCGTCTCGCTCGGCCGGTTTGGCTTCAGAGGAATCCAGAGAATGAATGTGGGTCCCAGCCACTGCTCCTTAATCTGACAGCTAAAATAATCCCAGCTTCTATTATCATTATTATTATTATGAAATCCTGTTTAGCTTCCGGTCGGCATCAATGAACATGCTGAAGCAAACAGAGACCATCGTTCATAATGTAAAGAGCCGCAGCGGCCACACGAGAAACCAACACAGTGAAAATGTCCCCACACACACGGAACTAAAGAAACGACACGTTACACGGTTCATGCTGACAGGTTTGGTTTGAAGTCATCTTTTCATTACTTATTTCTTTCTTTAATTTTCACTGATCGCTGAAGAAAGACTGTCGCTGTGTTCAGGCGCTCCGGAAGCTCCTTTACACCAGTTCAAAGTCTGGCACGTAAATCCAGGTGAGACCAAATCAGCGCTGTTTACCATCTGCACTCAGATTAGACCGAGATTATCTTTAAAGGTGGGAGTTAATCTGGGCTGTCTCTCAGCCGCAGGTTTGGCTCTCGGGGTTAATCCAGAGTTTAGCCAGAGCCAGGCCCTCAGCTGTGGGCTCGATCTAATCCCTGGAGTAACCCTGACAGAGCCGCAGGTAACCCGGAAGTGAGAAGCCTGGTCTCGGGTTCAGACCTGAGCCAGAGTCTGTCGGACTCACCGCTGATGATCAGTCACACCATCCTTCAGATGCGCGGTGTCAGGAGCTGCTGTTCTGGTCCGTGTGTCCGTATGTGTCCGTGTGTGTTAACGCTCAGCTGATATCTGAGCTCTTCCTCAATAACAAGTCTCCTCTGATAGCCCCTCCCTCTGAGGAGGGGGAGGAGCCTTCACTGTCGCTGCAACAAGCTCAGATCCTCCTCCTGAGTGATCTGTGCTCCTGGATCATCCAACACTGAATCTGACTGTAACCCACGATGCTGTCAGGTCAACGATGGTGTTCAGAGGGGTCAGACAGATTGTAACTGAGTACATGTACTCAAATACTTACTGAAGTGCAGCTTTAATGTACTTCAGTAAGTATTTCTGTGCAGTGGCGGTCCTAGCCTGTTTGGCGCCCTGGG